TTGGATCCAGCCTTAATTGTATTTCAATAAACCTATTGCCATCAATAGGATTTAATTTAAATATAACTAATAGATCACCTTTTCATTTCAGAGGATCTTTTATGAGTTAGACTGAGTCTGAATCCAAAACAACATGTAGGCCACGCAAAAATCTTCTCACAAATGCACATTTCATTAAAAAAAATCCTTCTTCATAATACACGTTCAGCTTACTGTAAGTAAAATCAGTCAGAACGTGTCTACTTTCAACATTAATTTAAAGCTGAGTCAGGCAAAACACAACATGTAAGAAATGAAACTTGGTGCAGATTTACCTGAGGACATTCACAATATCTAAGCAAATTTGTTCAGCTCAGCTTAGCACCTACATCATCATTTATAATAGCATAAATTGCTAGATTCACAATCTTTCTTGCACTTTACTACACTCTGTTACACTTTATGCAGCATCTGTTCAGTGCTCAAGATCTCCTGGACGATAAACTAACAGGTAGGCTTTAGGCTTTTACAACTGAATTTAAGTTACTGTTGTTACAAGAACACAGGTGATGAATAATTCTGACTGGGGATTCTGGAGTTTAAGTCATTTAGAGGGCCAGGTTTCAACAAGATAGCTACCCAATCCTTCCAAAGAAAAGGACAGCCAAAACACCTGTTCCCTTTTTTTCAGAATACAAATGTATGTAGGGATTGGGGTGTGTGTTACGCTTTCCACATTCTGATATATTGAAGAGTTTGAAGAATATCAGACATAGGAGACTTAACATTGTTATCAAAACCAAGGTCCTCTCTTTGGCTTCTTTACCATTTATTTTAATAACATTTTCTTAAATACGTTTAAATTATGTTTTACTGTAAATACTGTTTTTTTTTAAAAAAAACAAGATTAGATTGTTTTTTATTATCGTTATTCTTAGTGAGTATTGTATACGAATTCATCTGAAAAGCATAAATCTAGGAAATACCAACTAGCAAATACGACCAAATTGTTCCAGCTGTTAAGACAATACAGCCAGGCTTTTGGGGAATGTATTCTAATGCCTGTCTAAAAAGATTCCTGAAGATTTTGAGACACTAAAATTATGACTTTAAAATATAATATTTTACACACAGGTGGGATGTGGCTGTTTCTGGTAATGGCATCCTTAATCCAGCAGAGTACAAATTCAGAAGAATCTTTCAGCAGAAGACATTTGAATCCTGAAGGATTCATGACAATCGTAAGTTGTTTACATGAAACAAGTAGATTGAATTCTTCTTCCTCCTCCTCCTCCTCCTCCTCCTCCTCCCACAACAATACATGTACTAGACCCTCTCTTTCTAAACAAATGGATGGCTAATGTAACAATTATTATTTATTTCTAATATACATATATAACTATCATTCTTTTTTAACCTACTGTATTTTGCATAAATGAGTCCCATCTTTCATTATACTTGTCCATACAAAGTCTATGTCTATAGGCAGTCTGCTCATAGGTGGCAAGTGTAATCAGGTCTTCAATCCACTGAGTAAATCACACCATGGATTTATCTTTCCAATGCTGTAATATTAGTCTTTTGGCCATAGTAAGGGCACAGAGAATCCATTTACATTGTCCAGTTGCCAAATTCAATGTATTAATATTATTCCTTGAGAATTTTAGCTTTTGCCTCACAGTCATATTTATATGGTAGTCCACTACTTTCTCCCAAAACCTACTTTCTCCCAAACAAGTATAGGACATTGTAAAAACATGTGTTTTAAAGAACCTCTAAGGTAGGAACCCATTTCTCCTGAAGCTCTACCATTCACAATGATGTTAT